CAGGGACACGGTGGACCCGAGTCTATATATTTGAAACGGCCTTTATCGTCCAAGCTTGTGAGAAACGGTTTCATTTCAGTAGTTTTTAGCCTTAAATTTTGTTTAATTTGGCTACGGTAGACGCGTCGATTGGTGCAGCTGAACGAGTCACTAGAGTGTAGATGACTCGTAACGAAACGGGTAGCGAAACGACTCTGCCTCATTTAGACAACAATAGATAACACTATGCAAGGGTTTAAATCTCCACCTGTCAAACCTTACAATTCTTCCACTGCCCACTTCCCGTTCTCTTAAACTCTTATCCAGACCATTCACTACCTTATGTCTTGGGTTCGCTCTTCGCCAGCAGCAATCCATTCCCTAGCCTTGGCCTCATCTCGCGGCTTAAAACCGACCTTGAAAGGCTTGGGGTCCGTTGTCAGCGAAGTTGGGTTGGCGTTGCACTCGATGCAATCCATGACGGGGAAGTCCTTCTTGTCCTTGGGAGGAAGAATCTCGAAAGCGGTGATGAGGCGGATGAAAGCTGTGTAAAGCTCGCGGTTTGCAAGGTGAGAGCCTGCGCACATTCGTGATCCAGCACCATAGGCGTAGTGAGGCGTTCCAACCTCCTTGTCGTCGATGTATCGCTCAGGGTTAAACTCATAAGGATTCGCGAATCGTGATTCATCATAGTCTGCGGCGTAGGCGTTCTAAATCTCCGATCAGCTGCATGTTCCGTCACCATATGTATGCACAGGGCTGTCTCACCATGAAAAACTTGGTTCCTGCAGGGATCACGGCACCCTGGTAGGGAATATCCTTGATGCTTTCCCGAGGCAGGCAGATAGGAATAACCGTCCAGAATCGGAGAATCTCCTTGACGAGGGCTGTGACGTAGGGAACCTTCTCTTCAACGAGGCATCGCTCCCAGGCTTCACCGTTGGGGTAGACTTTGTAGATCTCCTTGAGGGCCTTGGCTTGAATCTTCTGGCCGTGCTCGGTGGCTAGGTATGCGATGCCCATGATGACGTTACCTGGAACTGTGTCTAGACCAGCAGAAACCATAGTAAGGCAGATAGACTTGATCTCGGCTGTTGATTCGTTAGCGAAATTGTTTTACAAGGCATGTCTTACTCACCATCGTTCAACTTGGCGGTAGGGTCCTTCAGAATGTTTCCAGTGATGCAAGGCTTGTCTGTTCCGTTGTCGATTCTGCTCTTGAGATTGGCCAGAAGATCAGACAGATACTTGTCACGTCGGACTCTGAATTCCTCAGCTGATGAGTTTTGCGCTCCCCAAAGTCGAAGCAGCGGAACATAATCCTGCCAGTTGTTGCTAGTCGATCTGAAGTTGGAAATCTCGCGCTCAACGTAGGTGATTTCGTGAAGAAGCTCAGAGTTGACGTCGCCATCAATGCGGAAGCCGTAGTTCAGAGTCAGAGAAGTGTTGAGCGCAAATCGAGCAAAGTAGGGCGATGGGTCAAGGTCTTTACTGCCATCCTTGCAATCGTTAAGAAGTTCCTCGATGCTGACGAGAGATTCGAGGTCGAGAATCGGCATGTAAGATTGAACAGCAGGGCGGTTGAGGGCAGTGGCGGCGGCCTTGCGGCGGTTCTTGCAGGACTCATCCCATGGTGAAGTGCCGATGGTGAAGCCTTGAGATGAAGAAACGACTGAGTGGAATGTGTGAAACATGGGGCGGGAGATGAGTGCAGACTGGTGGGTGATCCAGAAATGCTTCACGGCCTCGTAAGAGTTGACATAGATGACTCGCTGCGATGGTCAGAACTGAATATTCAAAATATGCTGAAAATGCGAATAGCGGCATGAATTCTCACCTTGGTTCCCAGGCGTGTCTGAAAGACAGGTCCGTACTTCTTGGCCCATTTCTGCGCAACTCTGGCATGGTCCGTCCCCAACTGAATCAGGTTTCCGAAAAGTGGTACACCGGGAATCTCGGGGATACCCTTGATCTTCGGCTGGTCCGTCGAATTGGCCAACTTGTACAGCACGTACAGGCCGATGATAATAGCGAGGTAGATAACTTGATCAGACATGGTTGCTCGTGAAGATCAAGTCCAAGCGGGGGAAAAGATGACTGTCTGTGCTGTAATGACATGGTAACGTGCAGTCCCGTCTGTAGGCTTTTTATACGCAAGATGAGCAACGTGACATGTTTCCCCTCAGCAGCACTCGGGATCTGCAAAGAAACCCCAAGTCTTGATAACCGAATAAGCGGGGGAGCCGTGTGCCGAATCCTATCATGGCCTTTGTTAAGCAGGCCTCAATTGGGCTGTCTCGAGTTGCACGCGGGAAGTTTGGGTATGGCTTGATACTTATTGTCGGCTATTCATTCAGCGGGCCAAGCCTGAAGAGGGAATTAGAGGAGAAAAGAGCTCGATTCTTCGGAAATACTGCTGAATTGCTTGATATAACTCGGAAATATTTCCGACTCATTGAGAGAATCTCGCAAGATCCACTAGCGCCCTTGAGATGCGTCATGATCTGACTGATTCCAAGAGGAGATGCTGAAATCGGGGTCCACATTTTCATTGTCGGAAAATCTTCCGAGATAATAAGAGGTCTTGTCACCTATTGCCGTTAACAAATCCTCTTCAACGGTTGAACAACTCTTCTGACGAATCAAGGCTCATAAAGCCGCCATTGAATTGACTTTGGCAACCTGTTATCAGCCTATCAAATTCCCGAGACAGCGTCGCAACCAAGATATTCACAACCTTATCTTCAATGCTGCAGGGGTTTAACGGTTGCAAAATACAACACTATTTTTCTAGCAAATGAAAAATATAGAAATAATTATGTGAACTCTCTCTATGTACGAAGCAAGAAATTCATTTTCTCTCTGGTTGGCTAACTGCGATGTTGGCTCGCGCAGCTTACAGGTTTGACTTGTGTGAAGGTAGCAACCGCGTGGCGGATTGTAAGAGCCGAATGCACTCGGAGGTTAGCATATATCAACAGGCTAGACCCATTTTATCAAAACAACAACGGTGTTCTTGACCAATGGCGAGGCGAAGGAACAAATAGTGAAACGCCCTCTTCTCAAGAAAACACAATGTTCGTATCATGTATCTCGGATGTCAGTCGAGGAGCTCTTTACATCACTGATTTGCAACGGGCTTTGATCCATGTCCCGGGTCATAAATCTCAGCAAGACCGACGTAGGTCGGGAACTGAATGGAATAGATATCTATAAGAGTGAGCTCGCTATGGATCAAGACGAAATGCAACAACAATCGCTCTTCCATTCATCACAACTTCCGTCTCGAAAACAATCAATATGTCCGTCCCCTTCGACCTCGCCAAGCCCAACAGAACCATTCACATCGGAGTCATCCTCATGAACAGGTGAGTGAGCAGGACCAACTCCCTCGACGAGCACTTGCTTACATATTTCCAGCGAGACCGAGATTCTCGACGTTGCTCCCATTGATTTCTTGTACGGACTCTCCAAGAAAGCATGGAAGAGTAGCTTTGAAGGCGTGGCGCCTGCCAAGCTCGAATCGGAGACAATGGACATGGAGTTTCACTGGGTTCATGAGAAGGGGACTGGTTCTCCCTGTATCCTGACAAGTGGTATCAGGCTTGTGGCTACGGTATGTTCACCTCACAATTCGACCTCGTGTCGTTGTACTGATTCGGAAAGGACTCTTTCGATACTTGCCCTCCGCTGGATATCGCTCTCATGGGCGCAAACACTGCTCGCTACACCCCCAACGAAGCCGAGCTTGCCTTTGTTCGCAAAGCCTACGATGAATGCTCTGCTTTCCTCTCCATTTGTGGCGGTGTCCTCATTCCTCTTCAGGCCGGTATTTTGAACGGCAAAACAGCAACTGGTCCGATTGTTGTGCTCGAGACTGTCCGAAAGCAAGCCCCAGAGGTCAACTGGGTCACCAAACGCTGGGTCAGAGACGGAAAACTGTGGACAAGCGGTGCGCTCCTCAATGGTACAGATATGATGACGAACTTCATGAAGCATTACTGGGGCGGTGAAGGTGGTTTTGTTGACCTTTTGAGTAAGCTTGGTGCTTGGCCTGATCGCGATGTTGATTATAAGGATGCTGATTTCAGTGGGCTTCTGTGATGTGCGCATTTGTCCATGCTTGGCGAGTTCGGTGAATAATGGAAATCAGCCAAGCTGTTGTGTATTTTTGGAATCGTTCTTAAATACAGTCCCTACCGCATTGCCTTGAGGTAAATTAAAGTTTCAACCGGCGGTAGAATATTTAGTTGCAGACTCAAATATTGCGCAATCTTCAGACAATTCTCACATCATCAGGTGCTGCGCCAGCTCTGTCGAATATCATGGTCTAGGGTATCGAGAGTGCGTATCGCGAGTACACGCCCACTAGCCCAGGTCAGGGTTTTTTTTGCACCCTGATAGTTAGTGGCGAAGTGTTTGCAGATTAGCGCTGGACCCTTTTTGCCCCTCCTAAGCCCCTCCAAAGCCCCTCCATCACTAGCCACATCGGTGAGGGCTCCAGGACCCTTTTTCAAAGTGGCACATTCTGATTGGCTGGTGGCTGCACAGCTCCGTCGATCTTGGTAGCTCAAGGGAGAGGTCCCCACTGCAATCTCTGCTGCCTCGATCCGAGAGTTAAGATCTGTTAGCATTTTAACAGTAGAGTTAAGAGCGTCGCGATTTGAGCAGGCCACAGAAGATTTGAGCAAGATGCAAAGATGCACTTCTACGTAGAGAAAATGAAATAATCACGATGCCCAAAAGAAAACAATTAATCAAGGCAGCTACAAGATAAGCTAAGCCTAATCGATGATAGGGAGGCTGAGACACTACGTCATGATAATTAGGTAGGCAACTGTTTTTGGAGTGTGAGCTCAGGCGGCGCCTGCTGCATTAGTCTACCCCAGTCACGTGGGCGGCTGGAAAAGAAAGAGGGGAAATCTGTGGCTTGAGGGCTATATAACGCACCGCGCCGTCTGACAATTGCATATTTCTTCAAATCGTCACTATTTTCGCGTCGAAATCACTAGTCCCTCATCATGTCCAAACTTTTCGTCGGGTAAGTCGCGAGTATTCATTACGATGGATTTCAGCTAATTTGACGTCTCCAGCGGCCTCGCCTGGGCCACAACCAGCGACACTCTCCGCGCCAAGTTCAGCGAATTTGGTGAGGTCACTGACGCCGTAAGCACTCCTCCGTTCCCCGCGCGCGCGCCCCTCGAATTTCACGATGCTGATACGATATTTCTAGATTGTCATGACCGACCGTGAGACTGGCCGATCAAGGGGCTTCGGATTCGTCACCTTCAGCAACCAGGACGACGCTACCGCTGCCATCAACGCTCTGAATGAGCAGGAGTGAGTTCACACGCCGCAACACCGCATACAATACGGACATGGTTCTAACGCAATGACTTCAGGTTCGAGGGTCGCCAGATCCGCGTCAGCGAGGCCAACCAGGGTGGTGGTCGCGGTGGTGGCCGTGGAGGCTACGGCGGCGGCGGCGGCGGCTACGGAGGTGGTGGTGGCTACGGTCGTGGCAGCGGCGGTGGTGGATGGAGAGACTAAGTCTCGGTATTTTCTTGATTGAGGACGGCTGAGTTTTATGATTCCTTCTCGGTTGGCACGATGGACACGGGAGAACGCACAAGTCTGACGACTGCTGCAAAGCGCTGCAGCGTATATGGGTTTCGTGAAGAAAACAATTCATAGCAATACACTCGGATCACACCATTAAATGATTTCCCATCGTTGCTTGCATATGTGAAGTCTTTGGCTTTGACGTAGTGGCGAATCGCGCTGCGTGGTTCGCGTCGCAGCCGCAGAGGTGAGTTGCGTTACTGGATCCATAAGAGACATAGTGCCGTAGCTACAGGATACTATAATGCATATAGACTTCAACCTTTACATAATCCGTACTTAAGCTTGAATACTATCGCCGCCTGAGTGAAAACTCAATGCTCTGTTGACTGGAGAATCCTAGGACTTGGAGAGAACTGCTACATTGATAATCATACTCCAGGCCACCCAAGACCTCGATCTACACTTCTTGCTTTCCGTTGGGATTCCTTTCAAGCTTACGAATGATTTTGGCAGGGTTTCCAGCAACCACATGGTAAGGCGGTACGTCCTGGGGAAATGTCAGATACCGTAACACAAGGAACGAAGGGCAAGTGCAACAAACCTTTGTGACAACACTTCCCGCACCAATCGTGGAACCAGCACCGATTGTGATACCCGGAAGAATGGTCACGTTGCCCGCAATCCAACAGTCTTCACCTACAGTGATTGTACCGCCGAGTTCTGGTCCATTTGTGCCGTTACGCAGCTCAGGATCCAGAGGATGCGTACCGGAGAAGAATGAAACGTTTGGCCCGATCAACGTCCTCGAGCCGATGGTTACTTGGCATGTATCAAGTATTGTGCAGTTGAAGTTGATAAAAACATTGCTTCCTACTTTGATATTCGTGCCGTAGTCGATCCTGATGGGGGCTTCGATCCAGGGATACTCGTGCAACACGTTGTCCTCCTCATCTTCTGTGGCCGCTGGCGGAGGTAAAGGGCGGTCGTCGTTCGTTATCCTGAGCTTATGTGAGTCACGATGGGCGAGTCTTTCGTGAGAGTCGGACTCACTGTCTCCAGAATTCGGCCATCTCGCGGCGTGTTGGGTCCTCGGCTGCGTTGAGTCGGGTGACAGCTTGCCTGCAGCGTCTACGGGCTGCTACCAAATCGGGCGTGAAGGCGTAGTACAGATCGCCGCGGCGCATGTGGTTGAGGTTGTCCTCCTCGTCGATGTTAAAGACGGTCATTGTAGGACAGAATGCTTCCAAGACTCAAGATTATATCGTTCAAGAGGATAGTGTAGCGAATAAGATGCAGGAATATGATAGGATGGCAATCTTTGCTTCTATATATGTTGTTCTTAGGGTGGCGGTTGTACAAGCTTTGGATCTACTCTCGATTGAAGGTTGACGAGAGTTAGTTGGTGATGAGTGCTGTCGGAATTTCAATGATCCATGCCTAATCCAGGTCGGTCGTTGTGCCTTTTGACCCTCTTCTCTCTGGATGGGACACGCTAAGACATTGTCGTGATAGTGGATGGCTTTTTTGGCACAAACTCAAACTACAACACCGTTTTTGCCAAACATTCAATCAATCAAAGCCTGGTACAATGTCAATCTTGACAGATATCCGGCTACGTTGACTTTGCATTGTTTCGGATGTGCTTGGATACCTTGGCTTCCGTTCGCATTTTTCATGTCCAAGAAACAACTTCCTCGACAGAGAAAACTTAGGGTTCGATTCCCTGCAACAGACTTTACTTTCGTCTTGTTGCATGTTAAAAACCTTTTCATAAACAAAAAGAGACATCTTAAATTTCATTACTATTATTATACAAAATTCAATGCCAAACGCGCTCAATTAATGCGCCTCGGGTTGGTTCCGACAGTCCTGTCCAAAGAGAAATATCATCCTAGTTCGCACCAACAATCAACTCACCGAATTCCTGTTCCTCCCTTAACTGCAAGGCCTCTTGGTACACCCTCAATTCCTCTTTCTCCTCGCTACTCAACAGACTTGTCCAAGTGAAAACCTGGTCTTGACACCAGACGTGAAACCTCCTCGGTCTCTTGTTCTGGGGGTCATCAAGCATTTCCATCGTCACTAATCGTTCATCATCCCAGATACCAAAGCCCAAACTCCTGAATGGCCGAAATAGCAAACCTTCACTCAATCTGGGAGTGCCTCTGGGGCATAACAGCGGTCCAGCCCATCTCAAACCCTTACATCCAACTAGAACTTTGTGGCAGTGATAAGTAAAGGCATCGTCTGGGTCAACACAAGGGAACGGGGGTGGCTTCAGGATAACCGCGGGCCATGCGAAGCTTGCACTTTTCTTTGGATTGGGGAGTTGCAGATGGTTTCCCTCCACTGGTTTGAAGCCCGTGTTGAAGAAAACACTCAGACCCTTATTCACAACATCAGTATCACCAACACAAGAACTTTCATCTGAGCGACCTTCCAAATGTCGGACGTATAGCAAAGCAGCCCATAATGGCTCTCGGGCGATCCATAGACTTGATTTCCGAAGTCCCGACAGGCACGTCTCACCGGATCCCATGTCACGGATGGCCTCGATATCAGGGGCTGACCAGTTCAGTCGCTTTTCAGAAGCAGCATTGCTGAGTTCGTAGCACATCTGGAGACACCAAAAGCCAAGGGTGATTCTCTGCATTTCATACCAGGACGCCTCGCCACCCGTATCGAGCTTGTATGGCTGTCCCCATAGTTGGCCATCAGGTCGTCGATTCCAAGGAAGCGTACCAAGATGGTAGCACTTGTCGGTCAGATGCTGCGGCTCGGTCGCTTCAATTCTTTCATGAAAGAAATCAAAGGCCTCTCCTGCAAGCAACTTGATCTTCCGGAAGAGGAACAGCATTTCTCTCGGCGTAATAAAACTGTCGCCTCGCATCACATGGGCAAGACGAATGCGTGGGATACAAGATGGCGGACTCGATTGAATATCTGGGACGCGGTCTCCTTGGGCATTCTGAAATGAGGTCGGCATGATGAACTTTGTGATGAAGGTGGTGAGGTTCCGAGCTGGCGGGTTTGTCGCGGAAGAATGCCTGATGAGGGCCACGAGGCGCAGTACGTGCGGGATCCATGGTGTTGTCGCCAGATTATGAGCTGATGCGTCGAGGACGTTATCAAGAACTTCGGCTCCCAACGTCCCGTTGAGGAAGTGAAAGATATGCGGCGATGCCTTGGCAACACTGTATAAGCTTCTGACGTCGGGTAAATTGCTGAGTATCGGCGCGATAAGCTCTGGCGGTAGAGTCGCAAAGACGTCCATGTTGACTGGCTACTGATAGAACGGAGGCTTGAGCGAAATTGAGGTCACGATGTTTGATTCATCAAATTACCCCTCAGATAAATATTGTCAGCATCATCGAGCCTCTCACGTGGCTGGCTGAATTGACTTAAAAGAGCTTATCCGTTGCTGCCGGCGTTGACGTGGCTAACCGTGGTCACACGCTAAGACCCCAAATCGAGCAGACGATATCAGGAGCGAATAAGACAGCATCGCCATTGAGGGGTCGTATTGATATGACGTTTTGTTGAAACACCGCCTCTTGGAATATGCTGTGAAACTTGTTTACCGTCAAATTCGCAACTGACTACGCGTCGCCAAAGTCCTGTAAGCAAGATTTAAAGCGAGTGAATGCCTTTATAGCTGCCAAGAGGACATTTGATCTGCATAGTGCATCGTGTAGAGTCGGCACGCTGGTGCTCCAGCGAATAGAAAGATAGAGAAGCGACTACAAGCAGGAGGGCAGTGTTTAATTTCAGTCACAATTGCAATCCTTCGAGCAGAAACATCTCCATGACATTACTGAGCCTCTATGCACTGAGTGGTAAATCAATATCTACAAGGTAAAAAACACGCGTCGTACACTCTCGTTTCCTGGCCATCTGGGCTTTCTGCATACCAAAATGCCTTAACCACGCTTGATCAAGTCGGCAGCCTATTTGCGTTAGATATATACTGGAAATAGTGATAGATAGCTTACCTTCTCAGCAACAGCATAAACAGTCGTCATTGTATGCGTGGCAGGAAGCAAAGGAATGACACTGGCATCGACGATACGAAGACCCTTAATGCCGTAGACTCTGAGCTTCTCATCAACTACACCACCATCACTGCGGCTACCAAGCTTGCAAGAGCCTGCGGGATGGAACAGAGTTGATGCGCTGTTGCGGATGAACTGTTCGATGTCACTGTCACTTGTGACGTTGGCTCCTGGCACAATCTCGAAGGGGTTCAGGGACTTGATTGAGGGTGCACCAGACAGCTTTCGAACAAACTTGACACCCTCGGTGAGAATGGCGATATCGAGAGGGTTCTTGAGGAACTCGGGGTTGGCATCGGGAGAGTCGAAGATGTTGGAAGACTTGGCCTTGACAGAGCCTCGAGAGTAGGGGTGCTGGAGACCAAGGACTGAAGTTCCATCGGCCCAGATAACCTCCAGAATGGCTGACTTGGTATCAAGAAGCTTGTCGTTGAGGACCTTTTGCTGCTTCTTGTAGCCCTTGACGACCTCGGCGGGTGTACCTGAGGGGAGGAACTTGGAACCGTCCTGGCTAGCGGCCTGCTTGTGAATATCCGAGGCGGAGCTTGTGGCGTTGGAAAGAGGGAGGAAGAGAAGGAAGTCACCAGTGGGTGAAGAATAAGGTCCCTTCTTTTGCTGGTCGTATTCAGCGCGCGCCTGAGCAGCGAAAGTGGCGTTGCCAGTAAGGTTGCCGGTTTGGATAGGAGCATTGACTAACCACAATTTAGCTTCTGATAGTCGTTTAATAAAAGCGCTTGACTTGCCTGTGCCCACAACAGCGAGCAAAACGTGATCGTGGAAGTTCTGACCAACAGCGGGGAGATCAACAACGACAGGGACGTCAATGCTGGAGAGAAGAGCCGAGTCACCAATACCAGAGACCTGCAGGATCTGAGGAGTGTGAATGGCTCCAGCCGCAAGGATGACCTCCTTCTTCGCCTTGACGGTGTTCTTGGCGCTGCTCTTGTTCTTTGCAAACTGCAGGAAGATGGTTAGTTATGAACACTACTCTCGAAGGGCACCTCTTACCTCGACACCAGTAGCCTTCACGGAACTTCCGTTCTTACTAGTGAGAATGCGAGTAACTTGGTTGCCTGGAAGAAGCTGGAGGTTCTTGCGCTGAGAGACGGCACTGTAGTAGTCCTGTGCAGAGGAGCGAACAACGGTCTTGGGGTTGAGGTTGTGAGGGCAGAAGTATCCTCCAATTGCGCCGCCATTGGCTTGGTCGTAAGCGACGCTGATGTCAAGCTCCCTAGTGGCCTTGACAAGATTCTCTGGACTTTGTTAGTATTTGTGCGCTTGAAGAGTTGTACACGAACAAGATGCACTTACTCGTCGTGGGCCAGAAGAAAGGCGAGTAGCTGGTGTGAATGAAGCCCGAAGAGCCATGCGCAGAAGGGTCCGTGGTGATGCCATACTCCTTCTTGATATCGGCATTTGGTCCAGTGAACTTCTCATTCTGCGGTAGAAGTTAGTTCTGATCTCGTGACTTTGCCAACTATCGCCAACCTTTTTGAAGTAAGGAAGCAGTGTATCCCACTGCCAATCACTATTACCCAACTCAGCCCAGCGATCGTAGTCTGCCTTGGAACCACGATCATAGACCATGCGGTTAAGCTTGGTCGAGCCTCCAACAACCTTGCCCAAAGGAATTGAGACGTTGCGCCCATTGAGAGAAGTAGTGGAAGGATAGGTGAGATTCCAGTCGTACTTTGTGCCGACAGCACCACCAGCGAGGCCTGGGATTGTCACGATGTCTTCATTCTTATCGCTGCATAGCTGTCAGTATTTTACTCCTGACAAAAAACTTCAGATCTCTTACAAATCACCAGCTTCAATCACGAGGACAGTCACAGCTGTTGGGGCGTCAGCAAACATGGAGGGCCGATGCAACGGCAGAACGCACCAGGATCCTCCGAAAGGCGGTTGGCTACAGTGAGGCCTGAAGCACCTGCACCAACAATGATATAATCGTATTCTGTGCGCAAACTGCCATCCTGACGTGGGTAGGCTGATGCAGTTGTCGCATGCAGGCAGCTGAGAGCTGCCAAGGTGAGCGCCTGAAATTTAGGCATGATCAAAATGAATGACAATGAATGAATGTTTGTATTTACTAAGGAGATAACTTAGCTGATCAAACTGTACCTGTAAGAGAATCGATGGGACGAAGACGATCTTATACCCTTCGAGTTTCAGCGACTACCTGATCAGGACTGATTCAGAAGGTGTCATTACAATCTATCCCAGAACAGAACGTGCCACTAATGATTCCAAGCATTGGCAGTGGGAAACCTGCTTGTTCTTGCAGCCGAATCCCGCGCTCAATTACCGAAATCGAAGGTTTTGTTTCATCCCTTGGATGGCCGTTTCAGGAACGCATTCAAAAGGACGCTCAAGAGGGAATCATGTCCGCCAACCTTATTTCGGAGCCCCGAATAGCGTGTGATTCCCATTGGACACGGGCCGGGTTCTCAGCGAGCATCGCCTTAAAGACCCTGGCTTAGTATGACCTGATAAGGTTTGCATGGCCGATTCAGACATAGAGGTACGCGCACACTGATATTGTAAGCAATCGTAATGATATTATGCCATGGCCGGTGGGATGAAGCGAATGAGGAGGTGTTGTTCTGTAGCCGAGACTACCGAGGTGAGTGAGATTGGATCTATAGAAGAGTTACTATGAAGGACCAGGCCATCAAGACAACAGATCAATCTCTCTGCATATCACAGAGCTTAATATTTGTATACTAAGGTAAGTAATAGATACAGTTCAAAATTGTGATAATCGACAGCCTTGAATGTATGTGTACGAGCAAGTAAGGTAGGATAGCTGAAAGGTCAATGACATAGCTCGCCTGCAGCGGTGCATCAAGATCGCATGTTACAGTGGGATGGCCCTCTGAGGGGTTAGCGCCATGGCCGCTAAATCTTATTCGCCTTTGACGCCTGACAGCAAAGCCACGATTTAACGTCAATTGACTACGCACAAGCATTATGCCTGAAATGACGGTATCACGGCAGTTGAGATCGCTGGTACCTTTCGGTCCCCCCTATTACTGTGGGGACTACCTCCCAGTGTTGAAGTATGTTCTGACGCCATCGATCACAGCCTGGACAATGCTCTCCTCAATCGAACCATCCTGCCATGTAAAGCCAAACCCAACATACTCCTCATTGTTCAATACGCAAACCACCAACGGAGCTCCTCCAGCATATGCGCATCGGCTCAATAATACTTTTCCTCGGTGCCATGGTGGTTTGGCACCCCCCTTTGGGTTCTTAGCCTCTGAAAAGGTCCCTAGGTTTGAGACCTCAAAAGATTCCCCACGAGGATGGCTAATTGAACCGGACAAGGCTGCGCCGATATCCGGGATAAGTTTGAGCGCAGCGACATTTGCATATGGCTCTCCGGAAGGCGAGGCATTCGCGAAATACTTTCTAGTAGCTTGTTGGATCTTCTTGGCATGATTCCAGATCCCGAAAGCGCCGGTACTTGAGTCATCTTTAGCCTGGTCCAAATCGGAGCGAACGAGCTGGACTTTGAAGGCATCGATGAAGTTACCTATGACTCCCTCGACCAGCTTTGGTGGTAGGTCTGATCTCAAGCTCACTGGAAGATTGCACGTAAGAGCCTCTGCAGTCGATGGCAGGTTGTCGTACAGCAACCTGGCGACAAGAGATGGAAGAGCCGCTGTTGGTGCCACCCTGTGCTTCTTGCAGTCTTGCACAAAACGCTCCATGATATCTGATGGAAGCGACAGTGATTTGTAACGTGTATTGCACGGCAGTGCAATGGGGGCGCCCCTCCACTCATCTAGCTGCGCGGCATTAGATGCCGTTGCGCTTGTTGGGAACGGTAGAGGGTGAAGCTCCTCGAGTGATGGAGCTATCGATCCATCGTTTGAGAATACAACCCGATCAACTGTTTGTTCTGTGGAGTTGGACGCATTGTCACAGAGAGCTCTCTGGAACGAATCATGGAAAATCTGAAGGCCAGTCCCATCAGTCATCGAATGGTGGGCAATGAATGAGGCCGTGAATCCATTCCTCAAACCATGATCTTTGAGTATTACCAGTCTCCAGACAGGTATAGTGCCGTATTCAGTCTTGAAGTTTGTGTTGTGTTGGCGCTCAAGCAGTGAATCGAGCTCGTCATCAGTTTGATCTCCGGCCAAACAAGGCTGCCTTCGGTCGACGAAGGTCACAACTTTCTCGAGATCTATTGAGGCCAGTCGCCCCCAATACGGTTCCTCTCCCTCAGATAACACAGGGATCGCGAACAGAACCGGATGTTGGGCGAGGACTTGTAATAAGGCACCGTAGACGGCCTCTTTCAGATCGAGACCAGGCAAGGTCTGGGTTGGTGCGTAGTGTGCAGAAAGACCAGTATTTGTGAAGAAGTCTATGTGATGGGCGACTGCTGAGAGTTGTTCTAGTTTGCCTAAGCTCTCCGTCAGTAGCTTTTGGATGGAGGTAGGAGACAATGTCTACCAAGCGGGCGTATCTTCTTCAATTGCCGTTCCGTCATGTTGGAGGATGTTTGTCTATGTCATCAACGGAATGATGACTTTGGTCGCAGCAGATTTGCATGGAAAACGGCGAGAAATAATACATGATGTACCAATTAAATCTCTTTACTCTCAGTTCATGCAATGTGGTGGTGTCGAAGTATCTGAACTCCAGCTCGTTTGCTGCGAGCATATGAGCAAGAAAGATATGAGAAGAGGATCGTATTCCCTGTATTGAGTAGGTTATTTATTTATGCGCGCAGAGAATCTAGAACGATCCTTCAAGCCTCATTCAAGGGTCCATGACTTGGCGGGGATAGTACTGGGCTCTTGCCTTATCGACGATAGCTTCATGCACAGGGCGAAACCGACTCAAATCTTCTCATTGAGGGCTAGCATCCACCCAAAAACTTGAAGCGAAATAAGGGACAACCATTGTTCTGGAAAGGCGACCTCTGAATGATGAGGGCTTGAGAACGAGAACGAAGCGGGCATATACGTACCTCTTTCGGCACGTATGTTTTGACATCCTGTCAGCTCCGTTCAGCAGATAGCTCATCTCAAGGTGCTGGAAACTTGGCTGACAAGAACTAAACACTGTCAATTCCTGCGAATCTCTATCATCTTTCATCAGCATGACATACCCTTTCCCATACTCACAAGCTGCAAAGCTTGACTCGCGGATCAAGATACCTCGTCCAGCTTACGACGCTGATCTGGCACCACTGTTGGACTCTGCCTCATTTCCCGAAGAATTTGACCTAAACTTGATGCGCGGAGTCGCGAGTGGTGAACAGGAATGCTCCCATGGCTCATTCATCTTCAATGCGGACACTGTTCTTAAAGACAATCCGCACTTGAGTCACACAGAGCACTCAATCCCTGGACCTCATAACAACACCGTTATTTTGTCGGTGTTCGCACCGAAGATCGCATCAAAGGCACCAAGACCAGTCTTGTATCACATCCACGGTGGGGGGATGGTCAGTGGTGACAGATTCACTGCCGTCACGTCTGGGATTGATCTCTTAAAAGGGATCGATTGCGTTGTTGTCTCCGTGGAACACCGCCTTGCTCCAGAGACACGGGCGCCGGGGCCAGCTGAAGACTGTTATGAAGGGCTTGTTTGGGTCTCCGAGAACGCGTCGGATCTCGGAATTGATCCAGCTGCCATTGTCGTGTTTGGGGTGTCCGGAGGAGGCGCCCTTGCAGCCGCTACGTGTCTTATGGCTCGTGATAGGAAGCGCCCAGCTATCCCGATCAAAGCTCAAATGCTCTACTCGCCTCTCTTGGATGATCGATGCGAGAGCCTGGCTGATCAGCAGTTCGAGTACGGTAACCCTGCCAGTACAGCATGGCTTCGTGCCATTTGGGATCTTATCCTGGGTGATGCGCGAGGATCAGAGCATGTTACACCCTATCAAGCACCTGCAAGAGAGACTGATCTTTCGAATTTACCACCTGCATATATCGATGCTGGAGAATGTGAAGTCTTTCGCGATGTCGCCGTTGCTTATGCTACCAAGATGTGGCGAGGTGGATCAACATGCGAACTTCACATCTGGCCTGGGGCCTGGCATGGATTCGATATGATGGACGACCCTAGCATGCCACTTATTCACATGGCTAATATGGCCAAAGCCAACTGGCTTCAGAGAGCCATGAGAAGTCTTGAGGATTAGTAGAGCAGCTACATAAAAGAATGGAAGTAACCAGTAGAGATGCTTTTGGGATACGCATGAATGATTATTAGGTGACAGGAAAACTAAGAAATGAACATTTCACTGTGCAGCAGTATATGAAAGAGACTTCTAAAACAAGTCCCGAGGGAACCGAATCTTCACTTTAAACAGAGTATAAATTTGGAAACGAAGAAAATCTTTCTATTACTGCTTATACGGCAACAATTCTATCTCTGTTCACACTTCTACCTTGAGAAATCAGTCTAGGCTATGATTTGGATGGCTTTAGGTATTTGAAAGCTGGTGAACACCGTTTACTGGTATCCTTTGATAAGTTGCACCAGCGGCCTTTTCATTATATCCTCCAGTGCCTTTATCCACGACATTTATTAGCTCTTGGAGCCACGCCACTGTCCTGACCTTGTTTGCGTTGCAGTCTAGAGCCTTGTCCACACCTGAGCGGCCTGACTTCATGAGGTCGTCGTTTTGCTTGAAGCTGGCTGACATCATGAATTCTGCAAGCTCAGCTAGTCTTTCTCTGTCTGCTTCTGTCAGAAGCGAGGAGACTGGCCTTTGAAGCTCATTATGCGATGAATTGCACTGACTATCACTGTTGCTCGCCTCTCTGCTCTCTGCCTCAGCCTTTTGATCAGGCTCATTACTTCCAACAATCTCTTCAAAGTAGCTAGGACGGCCATCCTCGTAGATGATCTTCATGTTTGGGTCCTTCAGGTACTCTCCCTTTGGAGCACTGGTCCATTCTCCGGTTGCTGTCAGGGCAACACAGCAGTGCCAAGGGGTAGTAAAGCCCGTCTTGGTGTTGAGCAATGCCATAGATATCTTGTATTCACCAGTGGATTGATGAATAGACAGTCGCAGGTGGTC